CATGTAAGATAAAGTCAAGGGTTTTAAAAACTGACCAACCTCAGCTTCTGAGCCAAAGAAATCATCAAGTTCCTTATCCATATCACTGTTGTCTTCCAACATGATATCATCCAGAGATCCACTACCCCGACCATGCACCAAACAGATTGGTTCTAACATGCAAAATTAGTAGTTGACAGACAGGCTTCAAGTTAATTGTGAATTTCATAAACTTGTTCTTTACAAACTATGAAGGGACTTAGAAAACTGTGAACACTTTGATTTGATCCTAAAGGTCAGTTGTATCCTGAACAATCTCAATAGTAACAGAAATGCAAGCAAACTTCAAAATCACAAACTTAGAGCCATCACTATTTGCAGTTTTGCTTTTTCACCCTGATTAGCCTTTACCTTAAAAGACAATAACATTTGTGAATATTTCTGGTCTTCACAGTTTACTGAGTTTCAGAGAAATCTTTAGTGGTTTGATATTAATAAATACACAGGAATATTTTGCCTGACAATCTTTCTCTTTTTACTTTCAGAGTGGTTAGTGACATCTGATCATGAAACTGATTGGATTTACCAAACATAAATTTGCTACCCTGCATTTAATCATATGTACATGCAAAAGAATGATATTTGGCATATAACTGCAAGCAGTTAAGTAAGAATCAATAAAGGTCATGTATTTTGTTTTTTCATACCTTCTGTTCTGCCATGCTGTATGTAGTAGTTCATTTGTTCAAGAAAGGCATCTTCATAGACTTGTCGTTTTTCTATGGAAGCTTGCCTCTCCAGTTGCTGTATTTTAACTTCATTCCTTTCCTTGGCTAATTGAAGCTCCTCTGAAACAATTTGAAGAGCAATCATGATTACAAACTACCATAATTGTATAACCTCTTCCTGAACTCTGATGACAACTTTCATCACATTCGATGTATCAAATGATTTATCCTATGATATCACAACCATCTTACATTTCCACTTAGTTTGAATCATAAACCATGCAGAGAAATTAAAGCAATATAATTAAACAAGTAGGACCAACAATCTCTTTTAATCTGCTCCCACTATTGTGAAAGCACTATGACTAGAAGAACTGGTTGTGCCTCTAAAAAAGTTATTAATTAACACAGATCACACCCTACCACCAGCGCCCATATTCTCCATACTGTTCTCTATACCTGTAAATTTCCTTGGGTAATGATGAGGAGAATTTGATTATTAATCAAGAGCTTTCTTAGCTTGGTGATCATTTCCTTTATTTGAGTGACTTCGGTGTGTGACTCAGGGGTTATATTGTGAGGAGAAATGAGACACTCCAGTCTTAGGGGTCAAAGGTTTAAAAGTGACAAAGGATATTTTCCTACCTCTAAGAGTTTCCAAATCATCCCTGAAAAATCAATTATGGTAGAAAGTAAGGTAAATGAATAACTGATGTAGGTGACAGAAATGCAAGACAAGATACATGTACATGCACACTTAGTGGATGTTAGTAGTACATTACAGATATTTCTAATCATCAAAGATACTGTCACACGCAAGATTAATGGATGACTACAAGTGTACTTCAGTTTATAATACAGAACACCACAGTCACCAAAGTGCTTGGGGAAGGTATGAAAACCATAACTGAAGCTAGCAAGCTACTCACTGAAATGTTCAAATCATACAGAGAACTGGTAATGAATAGATAATGAAGGCTTCTTTGGGGCAGCTTGCTTTGCCAGTGTCCCATGGGGTTGTGCTGTGACAATTTACTGATTCTTAACAACTGCTACTTCGCGCTGAACAAAATATATGTTTAACTTACTCTCTGTTATGTCTTAGCTTGGAAAGCTTGAGTCCTTGCGCAGCTTTCCGTCTCTCTAGGTCCAGCTGTTCACAAACCTCTTCCAAGTCTATCATCAAGTTATCCAACACTTCTATCTGTCCACCAAAGGCATCTAACAACAATATCACACCAAATAGCTTGTAAGCCAATGGATAGCTACATGATGTAATGAAATTTGCATATGAATACCATTATATAGGGCATGTTTTTGTAACTTACCAGTTTGTTTTGGGTTTCTATGACCAGGAATTAATTAGTTACAGTTACCATAAAAGCTTTATAACTTGTCATATCATTGAATTTAGCAACTGTTCTCCTTCTGGATGCATATAACACAATAGCACTGTATAATTCTGCTACTTATGAAATGAGACCCCATGGTACCAAACCACTTCATGCTGTATTGCTCTAACTGTCTCTAACCTGGCTGTAGCCAACCCCTAAGAGTGACTGGCTTTTGATTTCTGAGAATTTCAGAGTTAGCATTAAAAGCCTTGCTGCAACTGTTCCTATGAAAACATACGTACTCAAATATTCATACATGTTACATGTACTCAAGTATACCTATATCTGCCTTGGCTGTTTCAATGTTCTTTATCACTTCAGGTAGTAAAGCCAGTTCTGTGTGGAACATATTCATGTTGGCGTATAAATTGGAACATATCTTGGAAAACTCAGCAATACTCTGATCAGACCTCTAGAAAAAGAAAATTTAAAAATAGACAAAAACAACAACAACACAAAAGTAAAACATTCTGAATGACAAGAAAAAAACTGACAGAACGACAAGAAAAAAACCTACTACGGTGTTAATTAAGCTTACTGACCTCTGCTTTTTCTGCACATTCTCTAGATGCTTCATGAAGCTCTGCCCATTCTTTTTGGAACCTAATAAATGTTTACCCATTATTTTTGCAATGATTAATATTTCATATTAATTAGCAATAATTAAATATTTAACCTAAAGCTGTGTGTAGTCAAAGTTATATGTGTTGAAACTGAGATGAGAACATTCATACTGAAAGTACAATTTTAAAACAGCTAACCACGGCTCACTTTTAGTACAAAAAAAATTTATTAGAGTTTCCAAAAAAAGAACCAAAGCATATTTTTTTTCTCTGTAATTTATCAATCTATAGTCAAACATTTTTTTCCTGAGCCAATTCAGTATGATACTAAAAAATGAACATCTCAACTACTGAGTGTCAATATGCAACATGCTGTTGTTCAATATACAAGATGTACATGTTGTTGTTCAGATCTTTTTTAGATGAAGACAGCAGTGGGATAATAACACTTCTTTCTGGTGGCCATTCCTCCAACTGTCTGTACCATTTCAATGACAATTTTCTGGATAATTAGTTGATAGAAAAATCTCAAGAACATCTTTACCTAATCCTTTCAACCCTGATGGTGACTACCATGTAATATCTCCTTACAGTAATACTACTGAATTATTCATTAAGATTATGAGGATAAAGGAAATGATTGCCAACCTAAGAAGCTTTGATCGTTAACAAATTCTCCCTGTCAGTATCAAAGGAAAAGACTGGAAAAGAGTAGGGAGAATATACCTGTGTGTAGATAGTGATGTTAGGTTGTAAAGTTTTCAGTTCCCAAGCAGAATGTACTTTTAAGTTTTACCTATCGCTGATTTGTTGAAATCGTATTACATATTAATTGGAATAGAAGTGGTCTATTTTTCTCCACTAATTACTGGCACTCAGTCATCACTTACTTGCTTAGGATTTCAGAACCTGCCTCAAGGTTACAACTAAAGCACTGGTCATCACTATGGATCAGGGAAAACCACAAAATGATAATGATTATTTAAATAAAATCACTTTGGGCTCTCCTAAGCTAGCACAATAAAAAAAGCTCAGTGGGTCAGCATACATGCTGTATGTCAGCAATTTGCATCATTTACAATTATTCTCTTAGTGGTTTCTTGCTCTTTTCTTTCTAAAGTGTTTCATTTTTTTGTGCAAAACTTACAATATTTAATTCATGGGCATGACATTTACCATATTTCTTCAAACAAGCACCCTAAGTGCTTGATTGAAGTATTTAACAAATAGTAAGTTTATTTCACAAAAAAAAATAAATAACAATAAAATGTGAAGATATAGCACAGAAAGGGAATTCAAAGATTGTAAGCTAGTAAACAAATGATAATCAATTATCATGTGTGCAGCTGAGTTTTTTTTTCTTGTAGAAGGGGGGTGTTGAGGTGGGTGGGTGCCTAAATTCAAGCCTAGAGACTTAATCAATTAGATAGGTATGCAACTTTAACATCACGCGAATCACCAATTAAGAATTATTGCAATGTAACAGAGAGACCAGAACATGTTAACCGAGAGATGTATGCAATGAAATAACCCGTGTTCAATTAGAGCAAATAACATGAAGAAAATACCCTGATTTGAGAACCTACCTTTCAATTACTTCATCTGTGATGAATGTCGTTCTTCTGTTCAATAAAACAGGATATCTGTACTCAAGCTTATTGTTACTCAATACCTTAAGACTAACATCTAAGTCCTCCTTATAGTATCAGCCCTGAACCTAACACAAAAGTTACGAGAGTGAAGGAAATGATCGGCATCTTAAGACGCTATCGACTGTTATAAAAACTATCCTTGTGAACACCAGTAGAAATGTAGGAAGATTATCTTAAATATAAGAACTGATGCTAGGGTGTAAAGGGTTACCCAGGTTTAGGTAGCTACAATTAAGGATATTAATCTTGATTATCCAGTTATATACACGTAAAAGCTTACACAAAAATAACAATTAACACCACATACTGATATACTGACCTTACTATTTTCTTATTGACAGCTTTGGCCTTATCTGCGATTGATTTCCAGCTGATGGAGGATAAAATCAAAACCGAGTAATGATCATAGGCTTCTTCTAAAACTCGTGCAAAACTATACAACCACAATTACTCTTACCCTTGGGTCAGATCATGTTGTACTGTTTGCAAACGATCTCTAAAATTATCAAACATTCTGTCTGCGTTATTACACCGAGATCGTCTGGCCTTCTTGGTATTAGTTCGTCTCGAAAATTGACTAAATGTTCACCATCTTTTCTTTCTATTTTTGTTCTTTGACTATATTAAACTACGAGAAACCGCTGACTAAATATGGCCCACAATGCATCTCTAGGTCATTTCTAATATGGCTGCAGGGCGCTTCTTGTTCGTTTCCTGTTTGAACCTTGAAAGTATTGTGGAACCTGAACATTGACGTAAAAATTTTCCAATATATCAGCGCGTTTTGAGATTCAGAAGCTCGGAATTTTTTGGTGCATTGCTTATCTTTCTCAAGTTGTTTGGGATCCATCTGTGATCAAGTTTACCTTTCTTCATTTTGTTTGTAATTCTGGAAGATTCGAAGGCGCACGTAACAACGTAACCTAATTGTTTATGTACTTATTTCAAAGTAGAAGAGGAAATGGCGAACTCAAGTGACGAGTCTCTTATTATGACTTTACTGGAACAGATCAGGGCTTTGGAAGATGAGAGGGATAAGGCTTTGCAGCTTGTTAGCGAGCTCGAGAAGAAAGTGAAAGTAGGCTCAAAGTCAGAAACAGACTCTCACGGAGTCCAAGGTATCGACAGTCCGAGCGAGGAGTCTGAGACGAAACTTGAGAAATTAAAGGAGGAGAACGAAGTTTTAAAAGGAACTGTTGAATCAATGGCACAAGCGGTGATATTCGATCTCGAAGAAATTCGACTCAATGAAGAGCAACGAAGATTTAATTTAAAAGAACTCATTTGCGAGGAGCAGAATCATCAATCCGAAGAGTCAAGCAAGGACATGGATGCTGATGGTTATAAGACAATGTTGGACATGTGTAAAAAGTATTATGGAAAAATGGTGGCTGAGCTTCAGGACGAGAGAGGCTCTCTACAGCAGAAGGTTGAGAAACAGCAAGCTTTGCTCCTGGAAAAGGACATGAAAATTGCAGAACTGGAATTGAAGCTACAGCAAGGTTCTCGAAAGTAAAATATGATAATTGCTTGAAATACATCTTTGTGAAAACAGGTTAGATTTTGTATATTTTGTTACGCGACACTCAGAGAAACCAAAGTTCAAATGGGATTCATCATTCATAAGTTGCATGGAGATAAATATGGTTATAATAATGAAATAAAATTAGGGGCTCCTGATCAAGTTAATTAAAAGAACTTGAAAATCATGCTTGGTTTTATGCTACTCTGGTTTAAAAATTTAATGAATGTAAGTGAGAAGTTACAATTCATAGACCCATCCTACAGAACCCATCAAGAGAATTTTGAATAGCCACAACATTTAAGTTGCTCGAAAACCTTTTAAGACTTTAAGGTATATTTTCGCAAAACCTAAGGATCCTGTTAGGAAATGACAATGAACTGACACTATTTATTCTATTTTGTGCAATGACTGTGATCACAAGTATATCAGACAGACCAAAAAGAGCATCAAAATGGGGTCTTCTTTTGGGAAAAAAAAAATTCAGCTTTGTCAGTTCACGCATGTGTAACCACAGGCAGCTCAAGCTCTAGCTGTGAGATGATCATCTTGTGAAAGAAGAGTCATTGCAAAATTATAAGAATTTGTATGGGAATATTTACAACCACTCTAATGACTAAAAAAATAAGTCAAATTCTCATTAAAATACCTCACCTTGCTTCTACAGTGCATTTCCTGTTATCTGAGCGCTTACTATGTTGAAAAGAACTTATTTTAGCTAGCTGTCCACTTCGGGCTTTCCTTATGTACATAGTAAACCTTGAAATGGATGACTTGCTAAAGTGGGTTCTTTTTAACATAGTAAGCAGTCAGATAACAAGCAATGCATTTTGAAAGTAAGGTGAGGTATTTTTATTGAGAATTTGACTTATTATTTTATTCCCTAGAGCTTCAAACTCACCTCTTAAGAATTGTATGGTACACAGTAAGGAGAATTTCTAATGAGATCTTAGGAGTGAAAGGGTTAATATAAGTCAGTGCTGTGTTCATCAATGTCCTAACCCAGTGCTTCAGATTTTTTTCTTTTCAACATATTGGGAGGAAACTTAGTGATGTCTTTCATGGTGATAATCTGTAGAAATATAAAAAAAAATGTGAAATATTATAGTATGTCAAAGAGAAATTCTGATTCCCCTGAGATTAATTCATTTTCAGACCTTTACTGGTGCATGTGTTTGCATATTGGCTCATTATTTTCAGTGAATCAAGGATGTGAAATAGTGCATCACTGCTGGGCATAAGTAAATGGTAAACTGTCTCTTGTAACTGTAAAATTGCTCAGGATTGATCAGGGTTACAGTTCATTCAATTAATGTTTTGACACATAATAGAGAGTCAAATAACTCGTACTTAGGAAAGCAAGAATTTGAATTAGGATATTTCTCATATTTCATATTTAATTATTGACATTGTTAAGTGAATGATTGGGAAATGCCTTCGTAAATTAATAAGCATTTGTGGCAAAATGGGTGATTTAATAATTCAATTGCAAAAATAAGTGTTGCAATCAGCTCTACTACTGATTGCCAGAATGTTGCCAATCACTTGTTATGTGCAAAGTAATTGAAAACAGAGTCACATTTACTTCTAACAACAAAATTTACAATGAAGAAATAACCCAACTTTTTTTTATTTTAAGCATTGCTGTACACAGACAGTTATTTAAGTTTCCAATAGTTTAATCATGAACATTCATCAATATGACATACATGTAGGTCAGAAAGATATTCCATGAATTAAAGTATAATGTTTTTAAAATTACATGCAAATCATAAGTGTGGTTGAAATGTTTATTTTGTAGTATTTTCTAGGGTTGAATTAAATGCTTTTTGAGATTTAAAGGTACCAGATTAAAACCGATCAAACTTTTGCTGTTGACCCTTTAACTCCCATGAGTGACCATGAGAGATTTTCTCCTTACAATATCAATACAATATCAAGCAAAAAAGTGATGAGAATAAAGAAAAATATCAATTGGGAGATTATTAGTTGATCTAATACTATATTTCCTGAACTAGCATCTTAATAGCGGAGCTCGCAGAGTGTAGCCCCATAATTCTATAAAATATTAGTAACCCATCAAGCTGAAAAAAATTTGGATGTACGACCGTACGACCGTACAAGGTGCTACTTTTAACATGCGTGGTCAACTGTACCGCGGGCACGCCAACGCCACGGCTTTGTCCAGTGGTCAGTGCACTGGGCTCCGAGTCGGACGACCCGGGTTCTAGTCCTGGCCGGGGCAAGGCGTTGTGCCTTTGAGACGTGCGGGAAAAAAATGCGAATTCCGCTTTTAGGCTTGGCTAAATTTATATATTAATTGTATGACAGACAATAAAAAGAATTATTAATGAGATTTTGGGGAGTGAAAGGGTTAAAGTGATGTTACTTCTTTTCACCTGGAAAATGCATATTTCTCACTTACTTTCTGCATACACATCACTTGTTTGCTTAATTTTGCCAACTGAAACCACGTAGAGAGAAGAAAGAAAAGAGGAGAAATGAAGGGTTAAATAGCAAAGTTGAGCAAAGTGAAATTCATAGTAAAACAGTATAGGTTTTGAAATTCTGTGTCAGTCTACAAAAAAATATTTTGCCGCTTTTAATTATTTCAAAACTTCAAAATTTTAAATGGAAGTCTCTTCAAATGACTGAAAGACTCGTTCTTCAAATTAGTTTTGCTCGACGTTCAAAGCACACTCAAGACCGTTGAAGCACAGGCAGCCCAAGCTTCTGCTGTGAGATGATCATCTTGCGAAATAACTGTCATGGTGGAATTATAGGAGTCTGTATGGAAATATTTACGACCGCGCTAAGGAATTAAAACATACGTCAAATTCTCAATAAAAATACCTCACCTTATTTCCAGTGTATCACTTGTTATCTGACCGCTTACTTTGATGAAAAGAACCCATTTTAGCGAGTTATCCATTTCCATTAATCATCTTACAGCTGGAGCTTGGGCTGCCTGTGGTTGAAGTTGTCATGCAGAAGTTGGTAATTTTTATGTATAAAAAAAAGGAACGTGCAGTGAGTTCTTTGTCTCATACCTACAAACTTTATTTAATTCTGCCCAAGGGATTTTTCAGAATTAATTTACAATGTGTATATATAATATAAAAGACTAATGATATAAAATAATAACTTACTTGTACTTGATATAGAAATAACTTAAAATTACTACTACTAAATGAACAATCATAAAAACTAACACTATTAAATATTCTATAGTTATAAGTTGAGAGACCGGTATCCTATTTCTTCGCTAATTCAGCCTTTGCATGCTTTTTAAATGATCTTAGTGATCGAGCAGTTCTGGTGTTGTTACTGAGACTATTCCACGCTTTTGCTACCCTATAAAAGAAACCACGCTGGGCAGCCGCTGTCCGGCATTTTGGCAAATTTAGATCTTCATTGTTGCGGAGGTTGTAAACGTGCGATGTTGAGCGCTTCTCTATTTTACAGCTAATATATGCTGGCACTAAATTGTTAACACATTTATACATCATTGTCACGTCAAGCAATCGAAGTTGCTCCTCTATAGTTAGCCAGCCAAGAGCATTCAAGGCCGGTGTAATATGATCAGGAAATACGCAGAACAGTAGAATAATTTATTAAACACAATAGAGTTAATCATTATATACAGAACTTCCATGGAGAACAGGTGGCGAACCCTACTTATTTTACATAAACTAGTTTGCAAAAATGACGATAACAATGAGATATGATTATTGAATGCTAAGCCAGAGTCCAGGGTAACACCCAGGTCTTTGGCGGACGAGACAGGGCATAGTTGTTGTCCAAGAAAGGGTACAGTGACGTCAGGCAACTTTGATGCAAGTTGCAGTGTTCCAAGGAGCACAAGTTTAGTTTTATCCGGGTTTATAAGCTGGTGATTTGTTGTTATTTGCCTGCTATCCATCGCTCTAAGGATGTCGTTACTTATAATCTCAGCGTTTCCGTTGATTGCAGAGATCGGTTTCCACTTTGATGTGTCGTCAATCGGTTATACAATGTCAAGTAGTCAGTGAACTGACGTAGTTCGTCTCAAATATATGATTTTCATTGCCTTTCATCCACTATCACAGCAAGCTTAATCTCGGCAGACTAAAGTAGGTTGTCCTACTACCGCTCCTACTATTTTATTGCGACACAGATTTTAATATCACAAATTAGACAACAACCCACATATAGCATGGGCTAATCCTGGTAAATATTAATAATGAATGTATTTTGAGTATCAGTAAGCTAAAACTGCAATTACATACTCATAGACAACACGAAAAAGTAAAACAGGCAATATCGAAATTCGTCCATTTAAAAAATAGCTGTATTCTAGGTTTACTGCCATCCTACATTTCACACTTCCAGTGTACCATTCCGCACAATTTGTAACTAAATTTATGTAACTTAAGCTTGATACCCACCTCTTTTTCAAGAATTTTTCACCGAGGCAAGCATGTTGCATGGAAACCACCTCAACTCCTTTCACGTCTATAAAAACTCGCCCTTGATATTTCCTAGCCAATCAGGTTGTAGGAATTCTCGTGGCAACGCTTAATTGAAGGTGACCAGGTACTCTTAACTTACCCCTCCCCATCTTACCTATGACTAGCGCATGCGGCTTGGTTAAAACCAATTAGATCACTTCTCAGGGGGGGCCATTCATTTGACAAGCAACGACAAATGAAGTACAAATATTGATAGAGTTTGCGCATGATATGTATAATAGTGACTCAGAGAAGTTTAATCAGTTTCGTCTTCGTTGAATCACACTGCTTCAAACAAAAAACCACTTATAGGATATTCTACTTTGAAAAGGAAGCCACATCCAGCTCTATTACAAACAAAAGACTTATCCTGATCGAGGTACATGATATTCACTCGTGTCAACTTTTTAGGCGTTTTAAAATTGTTGAACGTTCCAATTTTTTCTCATGGCCAAGTTCAAATTAGCTGTTTATGTTGTGAGTATTAGTCTTCTTAACCATACAATTAGATATATGCATTCTTTAAAAGGATACATGATCTTAGTTTTGTTTCAAAACGCCACTCAGATTTGAGGGATATCCCTAAAAATGGATTAACCCTCAAACTGAGCATTAATCAATTATGCAATTAAGCTTTCACCGCACAGAGTTTGAAGACTTTTCCATAGAGGCCTGTTTTTTCTTTAACAGCCCGATTCAAATTTGAAATTTGAAAGAGAATCTCTTTTACTAGCACCAACCAGTGATTAAAAAAAACACAATTATTTTTTAAGCTGAGTTAAACGTGACAATTAGGCCCAGGCTAAAGAGTTTTAGAAATATATATATGAGAAATTGATGAAAACGTTTCACGAGCCTTTTCATGATGGAATTATAAGAAACTTCACTTATGCTAAAGCATTTTAATCCGACAATTTGGGATTAGTCCGATTCGATTCTTAGACTTATGTTTATTTGTATGTGTACGGGCTCTTACACTTCTATGATGGACAGTTTTTCCGCACGTTGTTGGACGACATGATGTTGCGTTAGTTACCCAACAGATTCTGTTAGGAATTTTGTATGTGTAGGCTGAGTTTGTTCTTCTTCAGCTTATTTCAGCTTTTTTGAATTTATGAAAAAATTTTCTGCTAGGAATACGAAAAGGAATTTAACCATGAGGATAGATTGATACAAAATTTCTATATTATTGCGGCTCGTTTACTTGTTTGAAAATAGAGAAAAAAAAATATTGTCTAGACGACTAAGTTTCAACAGTAAAGATGCAAATACGAGGGACACATTAAGATCAATATACTTTTGCTTTCTTGTTCCAGGAAAAAAAATTCCTTCAAACACACACAGCTTTGAAAGACATATTAGATAAAGACAAAATGAAAACTCACAATTTAGAAAAAGGACAGAATTTTTTTATTATGAATATGGAGATTAGCTTGCACGTTAAACCTGAAGGCTTTAATTTCAACCATTGTATATATTTTTTTTAATTAGACTAAATAATATTCCTATTTTTTAAAACTAAATTGGCCTTTTAGCTCTCTCTTTTGTTTTCATCAACGGAAACGGAGCCAACTAGGAGTCGCCTTGAGGCACTCTTAATTGTTTGGTTTCTTTATCTTTTTAAACAAAATCGTTTCGACACTAGCCCTTATTTTGGTGAGGTTCCTCTCGCTTGGTTTGAAAGAATTAGGTGCAAAACACAGTTTTAAAGGCCCAAACTCTTTTGAAGTATCACGTAATTAAGGTGGATCTACCTTGCACAAAACAAGAGGAAAGAATGGTTTTTTCATATGCTAATCAGAAAAATAAGTTCGTTCAAGAGTCATGGGTAGCTAAATAAAGAGTGCTAACAGAACTCGCCATGACGTTATGGTGTAAGGTTTTACTGTATCTAGTTTGGTAATTTATGATTTGGATCAGTTACTCAAATAGTGTGATGGCGCACCTTCATCAGAGGGGCACTAAGTTCGTTCAAAAGTCACGGGGATTTTTAAAATGCTAAATGAAGTATGTTTTAAAGAACCTGCCTTGTCATTGTGGTTCACAATGTCACAATGTCATGATTGGCAATGAGTTGTGATTTCGAGCAGAAACTTAACTTAAATATTGTATACCTTCTTTAGAGAGGCTTTGAATCAATTTAATGAGGAACGATATTTATTATTATTTGTTGTGATCCATAACCCCTGGCTAACATGCATGATTTCCTCGTGATATGAATACTTGATTTTTTTCACTTGCTTCCCTATTTTTCACTCTTAAACGAATTACTGAAATCATCTTTATGCTTTCGTCTCCGATGAAATTTACACTTACATTATTCAATTCCTGCGCATTTTTTTTCAGTAAGAGAATTTTTTTTTTCTTTTTGAGTGACAATTTCGCAACGCAGTTTTCCTATTTTGGTAATCACTCTTCACTCTTGCGATTACATAATATTTTTCACCTTTGGAATTGAAAAACCGTAAAATGTGATTGCCTAAGATTCCTAAAGGCCTTTAAAGTGTCTTCTGACCGAAACGAAACGTGGCGTCAGATGGAGCTGTAACCTACGTTTTAAAAACGTATTTCATTGACAAAATTGATATGCGCGTACTTTGATTTTATGGCCACCCCCTTTTGAATTTACACAAACGATTTTCATAAATAGTTTTGTATGTTGGTCCTAATCGTTTTATTTCTGTCGAACCCAAGTCTTAAACGAGAAAAGTTTAGATTTTTCTTAAGTCTAAGCGCGTTGAAGATTATTATCTTTGAAACGAAAAAAATACATATATTCTTTATTGGGGAACCCCGAAGGGTGAGAGAAAAAAAGCGAGAATATTTGTTGGAAGCCTAGGATAGCGATTGAAAATGAAAAAATCGAAAAACTTCAGGGAAAATTCCTCAAGATAGACAGACTGTGTTAGAATTAAAACTAGTGTTTTTCCATGCTATTGGTGAACAATATTTAACAACTACTCAACTCAGTGTAAGTGGCTAGTGGAGTATTTCCCGAGCCGACACTGAATAGAATAGTTGAATAGTTGTTAAAGTATATATACTAAAACAGTGAGATAATAATTCGATTTTAACACATTTATTCCTGCAACGATTACAATATTTTCGGGCGTAAATCCCGCGCGAATTACTCGGAGGTGAATAAATAAGGCTATTCGATAAAGATATTCAAAGTTTGAGCCGATCACAGCATGTGTTCAACGCTACTCACTGTTTCAGTATAAACTAATTCTTATTATCTTGATCCTTGTGATTTCACTATTACAGCTATATTGCTTAAAATATTTTCCTATGTTCTATCCTGTAATGAATGAATAAAACCTTTAAAAATAATTTTATCCTCCCATAATTGTTTACATCGCCTGTTATCGGAAACTTTGGAAAAATTGCAGGACTATTAAGTTAATCACTTCGATATTTTCAGCTATCTTTAGAAAACTATCTTTTCAAATACCCATTCGAGTAACTGGTTATTAATTTGAGCTAGTGTAGTACCAACGTGTAATAATCTTTACAAACCGAAATGCAGAGGTAAAAAAAAGTACTTATTGAAAAACGTCTTTTGATCCACACTGCTTCGGCCTGAGTCGAGCCAAAACCCTTTACAAAGTTTTATAAGCCCAGAGTGAAATCGTACTCTGCAGTTTAAGATCCTCACCAAAACATTCAAAGGAACTCGTTTTGTCATGTAAATTGTTTGCTTTTTTGAAAAAAAAATTCAATTTGTCATTTTTTTTTTTCAACATTTAGAACCTTGATTCATCAAAACCCGTTCATCAAAACCATATTTCTCCTTTTTTTACTCGCCCGTATCTTTTTCAGTGTTACTTCATCTTATTATGAGTCAAATTGTTTATATTATCTTGTTTTAATGTGAAATAAGAATGCAAATTCTTGTCCGGACAATTTGTTCGCATTGTTATGTTTGTTAAGCTTGGTGTAAATAGAAGTCGTCTTTTGTGCTCTTTCTGGGACCTATGCATATTGGAGGTACATTGCACAAAGCCGTTCTATAGAACACTACACTAAGATGGTGAAAGATGTTTGATTTTGATAATTTTGTCTTATCAAAGCGCCATAAAGTTCTAATAAAAATAATGATATTGCCCTATCTACTGATGTCCGTATTGTTCAAGGAACAAAGTAGATTTCTTTTGAAATGCTACTAACAGAAACCTAAGTTTCCGCTCTCATTAGTGGCAAGTTTACACCTTGTCATCACATGTCGTTATTGAGGTAACCTTTTGCTGTCTTTCTTTTGGAAAATAGCTTTAGACAAAGAAAACACCTGTTCCTACCACTTTTGGTTTATTTGTACGAGTTATAATCCGATTTCTGGAAGGGTTTAGTTTTTTTATAGCCGAAATGTTGCTATATCATTGCGGTTAGGGGAACTTTGACAAAAAAAATTTAAAATTTTGTTTCAAGAATTTTCTCTCTAAAATATTCTGGAGATTTTTGGAAAGGAGGTCTCTACCGTCTTCGTACTAAGCACTATTTACACTTTTACAAGCTATTGTTGTATAAGCAAATAAACCATATTTTTTCTAGAAACTTTGAGAGTAAATAAGTATCGATGTTACTCGGTAAATTGAAATTTCTTTATTTCAAACTTATTTTAATTCGATCAGATCTTGACTACAGTGGAATAGAAAGTGCAATTGATAGTCGTTTCGAAAAAAAAAAAATCGAAGCTAAACATTTTCACACAGACATCGCACAGGTGTAGATGGTATGATAAGTACTCGTCTGTCTATGATGGACACGTTTCCGGCTTAGAGATAAGCCCAAATTACTTTAAAAGAGCTGAGGGTAACTCTACCCAAGCACTTCAGCCTGAGTTTCAAACAGAAAAGTTCTCTTTAAGTAGTTGCCGTAAGTATCAATTGAGACTTTGCATTAAACATTTCTTGTTGTGTCACTTTCATACTTGTGCAGTATGCGAAGGTTGTGGTAAAACAGAGAGCCTCACCCTTCGTCCTTCGTCGACTTTGTCCTGCTAATGAAACTTAGCTGCTTTTTTGCTTTCCTCTGTGCTAACAGAAACAACATCATGAAAGTCTTGATTTGTCTTACCTTGGTGGCTCTGCTTTGTTGCACTGTAGAAGGTAAGCTCTAAAGTTACTATATTTGGAAAGTAAAGTTTTCTTATTCCGACAGAGGGTCTCAATTGAAGGGTATGGATCTTGAGCGGTCGATGGTCGATGGTCGATCACCCACAGAACTTAAGTCGGCAAATTTAGCTTTATTTCTCACAAAATGTCTCATTTTTAAATAATCAAAAGCGCCAATGCTCGTCTAATTTCAAGTTAAAGTGAAATCTTAGTCCCACTTTGCACAAGCACTACAGAATATTTTGCCAGTTTCCTGCCCTCACTCCGACCAAGATGGAATGAAGTTACCATTCCATGGAAAACATGATAGAGAGAAGCCTAGCCGATGAGGTTGGTTGTGCCAACTAAACTTTTCTGATATGAGCATTTGTATACAGGTAAGAAAAGTAAAAAAGGACCAAAGACAAAAAAGCAAGAGAAAGAACCGTGCAGTCTTGAGGACATTCCTTGGGGAAAATGTTATAAAGCAGTAAACTGTCCTTCTTCACCTTCACTCAACTGTGCAGGAGGCCTGAGATGCTGCAGACCTCCTAAAGAAGATATCAGGTACATTTACAACTTCTTTAAGTGAATTTTTACCACACCAGGGCCACCTATAAACCCCGGCTAAATCACCCTTCTGTAGCAAGTGTTTATGAGCGTTAAAACAAAAAAAAAGCGGTCAGTCCTCCTTGCCACGTAACACTTGTCGATAAGAGGGTCTTTGCGTCTTGATTGAGGATTGTTGATAGGGACCAAGACAGCAACGGCAACAAGAATGTTTGGAAATAAAAGATTTTCATGATTGGAACAATGCACAGTTTGCATTACTCGGCCATCCTTTCCGAAAAAAAAAAAACGTAAAATCACCATTTTTTTTTTAATCTGAAAACAGCACTTGCGAATGCAAATAGTGCACGTGTCTACTATAAACTTAATATTGCATTCACATTTTACGATTACTTAGGGGAGATCTGGCGTCGTGAGAGAAGATAAACACAGGGAATTGCTGACAAAATTCACTGGAAAAGCGAAAGTTTATTTTAAGGGAACTTTCAGTGCTTGGCTTTGCCTTCGGAACATCCTGATCTCCCATCTGATCTTACTGAACTAAAAAACTTCTTGTTACTCTTTCTTTAAATCTCAGTGAGGAAGACACCAATGCAAGTGAGGGAGATACAGCGTATGACAAATTCCTGATGGACATGAAAAAATATTATCCCTAGAAGAGACAGACCGTTTCATGCCGTCGTTTATTATGAACATGACAAATATAAAGTTGTATAAGGGTTTCAACTAAAAACTTTTTTTGTAGTATTCATTCATGTTCAAACTTCATTAAAATTGTAAACGTAACAAAGCCAGGGTTTTTACCTGTATTCTAACTTTTTTCGACTGGATCTTCGTTTTATTTTTCGTAGCACCATCGGGGCACACTCATTTTTTTGATCCCCACCTTAGGCTGCGGGTCTCCCGCATTGGCAGTCAAGTTTTTACATTCCCCCTTTATAATCTGTCAGCGAGAACTGATCCCTCCTCTGTTCCCCCAGAAAACCATGCGATCACCCCCCAGGCGATCAAAAATACCAGCGAAGTCCTTTTTAACTTTGTATTAAAGAGTAGTGTATTAGTGAGGTAACGTGACATCTCTGAACCAGTTAGATGACAAGAAAAAGATTTGTCATCATGCACTCTTATTAGTCGAGGCTGTAACATGATACAAACTGCTCTCTTAACTTAACTTAACAGACTGCTCTCTTACCCTAACTTAGCAAACTGTTCTCTTACCTTAACTTAGCAAACTGCTCTCTCATCTTAACGTAACAAAGTACTCCCTTAACTGGCTTAACAAATAGCTTTATGTCTCATTTTGTTTCCCTTACATCTCCAAGAGGACCGCAGTGGCCGTTTGCATTGGGTTAGTGTAACTAGCAGGGGTTCCAATTTACAAGGAGTGAGTTGGAGTGGCGTGCGCTAGCGAGGAAAATCGTGCAAGTCTCATTACATTTTATTCCTTGATCGAACATGAGTTTAATCGAAAGTTCGGTTTATTATAAAGTGAAACAAAGAATTGCACCGCGTTCGCCCCCTATCGAGTTCGCCCCTTCGAGTTCGCCCCCACCTTATGCCGTGTTCGCCCCCACACTTTTCGAGTTCGACCCCATCAAGTCGAGTTCGCCCCTTGATTGAGTGATATCCAGATGAGTTGATTTGTGACGAAGGCACTAGCGGAATGTGCCAAATGTCACGTCAGCGACGACCATTTTGAATTTCGGCAATTGCGTGGAACCTGCTTGGGAACTGGGTTGACGGAATCAACTAAATACTCTGCGTGGGATCTGGGGTTACCAGAAATAACTGTATACACTGAACTTGTGATAAAGAGAACCACACAGTTTATCTAGCGAACACGAAATGTGGTGATCGTAACAACCAGACTTGAGAAGATGCAAACCACGCTTTCATCGCGACAGCATTGCTTAAGTTGTTAGACTTGTACCCGTTTAGCTTTATTTATGAAATTAAGACTGAAGAATTTACTCATCAACTTACGAATCAACTCATCTGGATATCACTCAATCAAGGGGCGAACTCGACTTGATGGGGTCGAACTCGAAAAGTGTGGGGGCGAACACGGTATAAGGTAGGGGCGAACTCGAAGGGGCGAACTCGATGAGGGGCGAAAGCGGCGGATACCGAAACAAACTAAACCAACAAACAGGCAAACACTAAAAAAAAAACGAAAAACAGGATACTTGGCGAATTCTTGATAAACTAAAAATGGTAAGGAACATTAGCGAGCCATGTCTTGCAGAGAAATGATATCATGGAGCTAGGGAACACGTTAGACCCTGTAGTGTGAGCATTTGGGAAATGATTGGCACGTTTGAAAACAACTACTTTTATGTCATACTATTGTTCTGTCTGTTAACAGAGTGCATTGAAGAAAAAAAACCGCCGTGCTCTTTCATGACCCTGATGAAATACAAAACCTCACATAAAAAATAGATCAAATACTATGCTCTCTAAGCTCAGCTTGTATATAGAAAAATACTCAGGACGCGCTTTCTAATTTAAGACAACTCCTACCGGGAACACCGCGTTGGTGGATTTGCAGTAAGAAAGATGGAGTTCTTTACAGTACTACTGTTCACCGTGGTTTATTTAAGTTCTTTTATCGATGCCCGTGATGTTTATCCTAGCTGTAAGTAACAATTTCGCGTCTTAATTCATATCTTCATACCACAATATTTTTTCATCATTGTTAATTTCATCTCCTGGAACTCACACACATAAATTGTACGAATACTTACTTGCGCGCGGGTCTGTAATCCGCGCTAGAATTTATGAGCACAGTCTTTGGTACAAAAATTGGTGCAACATTATACTTTAAATTACACTTTAAATTTCTTCAAATTTGAGTCTGGATAATTATCTTATCGAAAAAATGTAAAATAGGGCTTTTTAAATTCTTTAGAATACTTCTGATTTCGCCCAAGTCTTTCACTCATCTGGTCATGAAAGACATGTAAGAAGCAATGTGGTGTAACAATAGGCGCAGACCCCTTTAGTGACAACCGGCTTGAATGCAAGTCACTTTTGTTGTCTAAAAGATCTAGAACATGTTGAAAATAGTACATGCTAACATCGAACTCCTCAAATCCGACGTTTCGGCCTGTGTCTTTATTCCTTCTTGAATAGTCTTCCTCCTACAGTACGCCGAGGAATGAATAAGGCAGTTAAAAAAATTACTCGTCACTGTATTTTTTTCCGAAAAATTCAAACCATGAAAGCATGAAGGCATCATTATTGCCTTTCCTTACCTTGTTTTTTTGTTTGTTTGGTGCAGTTTTTGACGACGTTGTAACGCAAAGAACTCTTGTTTAACTCCTTAAGCCTCAGTAATAACCTGCATCTAATTTTTCTTTGCAGTAATACTGCTGAATCATTACTTAGGATCAAAAGAATAAAGACAATGATCTTCAACCTAATTAAGAAGCTTTGATTGTTGCACAAATTCTCCTTATCAGCACAAAAGGAAATGTACAGAGAGGAGTATGGAGAATATGGATACTAAAACTTAGAAAACTTATTATTACCATAATTTAAATTCATTTTTAGGGGAGCGGGATAAAACTCAAGTTACTTACAACAACAATTCAATATCATCCAAAGGCGAAAGGTGCGATCCTCTTTTAGCACATCTGTCTTATGATATATTGTAAAAGTAACAGCCTATTGCACTTTGACGGTTATTGTTAAACTGGAAGGTATCGGCGAAGCCCTGTGCACGAAGAAGAGAAAAAACGAGTGGAGAGAAAAATTAAATGAGCGCAAAGCCGGTGTCCCATTTCAAGGGCGCGGGTTAAATATTACATAATTGTGCAATTCCTAAAGAGCAAATACATAGTCGTCCCAGATGTTTGTCTAATACGATATTACACTTTTTAATTTTTAATCGGAATTCCATGGGGAGACTGGTGGGTACAAAATTCGGCTAGCCACTCTAAAGGTATATCTCTCTTAAACAGTTGCGTGGAGGCAAAACCATCCGCTGACCAGCGCCTTGCAAAAGTTATCTGCCATCCATACCGTCCAATCGCCATAAAGGTAGATAAAAACGTGATGAGGACTGAGGTTTGCAGGTCGATAGTGGGTGATGATCTGTTATTCGCTACACCGGCCGAGCAAGAATGGCGTGAGAAACTTTTCGTGACGTACACAATACGCTCACGAGTTGGACAAGTACCACGCATGCCCGAATCTCCGAGTCGACTGCTGACCAAGTTTTGTTGGCAGCTTATCGTACACATGTACTGCAGATTCTTTTTACCAAAATGTGACATGACGTCATCCAGACCTCGGGCTCAGCCTATTTGTAGAGATGCGTGCCGGGAATTTAAGAACCAGTGTCAGAGGGAATGGACTCACGCACAAAGGAAATTCAAGAGTGTGTCGTGGGCGGTGCAGAAACTTGCCTCTGGGATGGAGAGAAGTTCTTCGCTCATGTGGTGTAGGAACCTGCCCAGACGAAGAGGACCAGATATTCCAGAATGTTATTATCCTAAAATGTTGAAAGGTATTTCTTATTTATTCATTTATAAGCTGTATGTACTACTGGTTGTGATGAAGTTCAGCGAGTGAGTGATCTGGAAGTTAATCAACGGGGGAGATGCGCCGGTAATTTGTGTTTTTATTCAGAGAGTAACAGAAGGAGATTTAAAAAATAAAATAGGAAGAAAATGTCAATCAATATTATTTTCAGATTGTTATAGTTTTAGTTAACTGATGGTCCATTCGCTGAGCTCTTTTTCCCCTTAGTTTCAATTTGATTTTCTCGCTTCTCGTTTCAGAAAAGAAAGAAAACCCCCGACCGTTTACGGGTAAGTACACGGTGTGTGTCTAAATAACTCGAGCTCAATAGCATTTACAGAATGTGAAACGCTTTCTTAAATCCACATGATGTTCTAAACATCTAGGCCCATATGTTTAAATATTGGATACCGCTATCAACGGATAAATCGCCATCCAGCGGATACGTGTCTACGTACTGCGTTATTCACTTTGTTCGTTATCCACCCTTCGATAGATAGCAAGTGAGACTGAAGTCTTTGTCGAAAATATGCTTCCATAATTGGTGAAAAACCTTTTAGAAACTTTTTTTTTGAAATTCTGAAAAACGTACCTTGGGGAATATTCAGAGAATGGCAATGACTTAAACTCATAATTCCTATTTGGCGATGTTCATCAAATCCCTTGTCCGTCACTATGCAATTATTTCGTAGGTTGCCAAAACACACACGTAGTACAAAGATGACCCTAGATAATAGCAGAGAACACGCCCCTTATCAGTCAGTCTTTGCTGTTTCATTGTATCGGCTTTGAGGTCGTTCTAAAGCTCAACCAGTTTCAAGCTAGTCAACCCCTTCCCACCCACATCATCCTTAGCGGTTTAATTTATTGATCTCTAGCGCCAGCGTCTCTTTCTTTCTTTCTTTCCAAACATTGTAATCTGTGTTTGATATCAATGCTGATTACCGCTAAAATGATGAAATACAAAAATACTTATGTACATACGTAAGACTTTGTTTACGGAGGGTAACACTAAACAGGTAGAAATTAATAATAATAATAATAATAATAATAATAGTAATAATTTATAGACTTATAAATAAGACCAGTAAGCTATTTACAAGGCGCAGCTAAGGAGTTGAACTTGCGGCTAGCGGGCTAGAACCCGGGACCAGCGGCCTAACCACTCGGTCACAGTGCCCCCTATTTGTAGCGGTTAGTTAAACAATTCCTCGAAATGGCAAGGCCACCTTCAGTAGCTTAAAGAAATTACAGATAACAAAAGAAAGCCTCTAACGAATTAATCGATATTTTAGACACTTGTTTCTATGATGACGGTCGGACATACAACGGCAGTGTGTCTGTAACACGGTCCGGTCACAAGTGCCAGTCCTGGAATTCCCAGTGTCCTCATCGGCACCACAGAACACCAGAAAATTATCCTGAACTGAATGGTGCTGGCAATGCATGTCGGAACCCTGGTGGTCAGGCCCCTCACGGTCCCTGGTGTTACACTACAAATGTAACGCAGAGATGGGAGTATTGCAATGTGATCAAGTGTGAAACACTAAAGGAAAGCAAAGGTATGCTTATTAAATATTATCTGAAGCTTACAAGACTCAAGCGTACCTTATATTTGAGACTTGCAACCAATCATAGCTCCTACTAGTAATTAAATGCTATATAACGTTCATTATGCGCTTCATGAATATGGCCGGATTAGTCCGATATCTGCGACAGGAGGTATTTCTTCCAAGAATTCCTATTCCCCGAGCGAAGCGATAAAAGATTAAAGAATTAATGTCAAATGCATTAGTATCTCCATCACGTTGCGCTGTTCGGTTAGTTAGTGCGATAAACTCTTAAACGTAGATAGTCCCGCTCAGTATCACACTAGCTCCAAACACTCTAACCGGCTACGCCTGGCGTTGATAAGCAAAAAAGTGACCAAGTTAAATATGAAAGTAATGAGTCAGTCTTCTCCCAGCCTATGTCTTTCATGGACCTTTAAGCAGCATCTTATGCCCATTTCTTTTCTATCTTTTCACAGGATGAGAAAGTGAAAGAAACGGCCACCAAACTGTCTCCTTCACTCACCCACCCACCCACCCTCTTTAAAGAAAATGTACATAGTGATCAGAAAACGTAATAGTAGCCTGCGTTGCTGGCGGTCTGCAGTTTTGGGAGCAGAGAGAAAAATGAAAGACCTTTCATTACTTTCTCCGCCGCCGAAACCGCAGACCGCCAGCAAGGCAGGCTACTAAAAGTCTTGCATAGCAATAAAAGGAGATGTTTGACAATGGTTTTACCTCTTTCTCAATTGGCGCCGTGTTAAAGAAAAACTGTTGGTATGGTTTCATCAATTAATTCGTGACATGCACCGGCGATATGCAGGTCTGTCGTGGCACACAAAGTGAACTTCATCGTGACGGAGAACTTGAGGGGGGAAGGGGGGGGGGGGTGACTAAACGGTTTTGAGCCAGCCATTCAACCGACCATGGTTTTCTCCTTGGGTGATCTTGGCACTTGTTTCAACATAAATCTTTTGAATAAATCCATATGCCAGACGAAATTCCCTGAGATGAATGATTAACCACAATCTTTACAACTCCTTTTCTTATCTAAGGTGGTGAAGGGAAAGAATTTTATCTTTAAGAGACTTAGAGTAATTAGACCTTACCGCGAACTTTTCTAAAAGCGTGGAGACTACATAATATGATAGTGGCTAAAATATAGATTCATGAAGGAGGCAAAATTATAAAAGGAGGAACAAAGATTGTAAAGGACGGATTGCGACATCCCGAATGAAGATTCTGAATAAAATTCACGTCTCGAGGAAGGAAAAACAATTCTCGGAAACGTATGTATTTATTCACGAAAGCGTCTTTGTCTTCCCTCGCGACGTGAGCTTCGGATCCTTGTGCTTTGAATACACACGCCGGAATATCACGCTAAGAGCGTAACGTTTCACAGTGACACCCTTTTGTAAAATAACGCGCTAAGCCACTCATATATAAAAATATGGCGAGGAAAGATAACTTACCGTCGCAATGTGTTCGTTAGGAAGAACGCTGAAGCGGTAAGTGAGTTCTGAGTTTAATTTGGTTCGAGCAAAAAAGAAATTGAAAGTTGCAGCAGTACTATAAAACCTCTCAGGCGAAGAGCTGAATCGGAACTTTCAGCTATTTGAAGACGTGCTTCTGTTGTATAAGGACATAACTTTACTTTCGATGCATACTTCCCAGACGTTAGTCCGAAATCTATATTTTTACATCTTTTTGGAAAAATTTTCAACTTCAAGATGAGACTAACGTAAATACACTTCTTTGAGTGGGGTAGAACGGTTTCAGACAATTTGGTTTTGTTTTGTTATCACATAGCGATTTATCATTCAGCGTGTCAGCGTGTTACGAAAGAAGATGAAAGAGAAGTAGCTAATAATAGAGTATGCTTACTTTCAGTCACAGCTTCCATCCGAAAACGTAACTTAATATTAGGAACATCAATGGAGAAAACACATTTTAGATAACTGGAAAAAGAGATGGCCAAATCGAGGTGAAAATCAAGCTTATGCTTTTTCCTAGTAGCCTTCAAAAGATTTGAATGCAATTAAAACAATTAAATTATTTTATCGCTACAAATTCCCATAATTAGATAAATTTATAAGCTCCGGTTTCCACCGCAAATCCGAAACTTTACGGAAGGGTGTGACGCGAAGAGGTCACGAAATTCGTGCTTGATAACTAATAGTGTTGTTGGATTCTGCCGGAGTTGAACAAAATGACCGATAGCCGATTCAGAAGGCTGCTGTTGTGTTTTATGACCATATGGACTGTGGCGTTAGGACAAACAGGCAACTATTCTGTCGTCAGAGGTAAGGGCTAGAGGGAGTTATTCGACATACTTTAAAGCTTCTCAAAGTCAAATTTCACTGATAAAAATATTTGGGAGTACAAATTTGTTTATTCGAATTTTCTGATTCCGACTATCGGCCAATGGACCGTTTGCTAAGGAAATTTTGATCATCGGCTCACTTGATCTCTTTGGCGAGTTTTCAGTTGGAACAACAGGGAGCCACGACAGTTAGTTCCATGCATTTTACAAGCGTTTTTTCGTATGAAGACGACTCCATGTCAAATCTATTCGTGTTCCTTTCCAACCTCCGGTGTTTGTTGTTGGCCTGCTTGTTGTCAATCTCTTACACATTGTACGCCCTTAAATAATCTGTAAATTGGATTTTTGTTCTCTAAATTTTCAAAGTACCAAAACCTGAATACTGTTACTGCTCTTTTCAAACTTTCACCGAAAAAACGCTGATCGGCGAAGTACAGACACTGATTATCAAAACATTCATTAATGTCTGTCTGGCAGGAAAAAAGAAGGCTTCAATTCAGAAGTAGACTTTAAACAGCTTTTCTACTTAAGGTGGTATTATAGTCGATCAAGAGCCACAACTGTACTGAAAACGAATGTTTGGCAGACATCACAATCCCCACTTCGCCAGAATATATGCTTTTCTAATTTGATTAACCGATACTACTAGCTTTGAATGACTTACTTTCATTAAGTATCAGGTGAAACATCTTCAATTTGGGGTCAAAATTCTAGAACAGTTCTTTTTTTTCATCATTTGTTAAGACTTTAAGGCATTTCATTGCTGAATAAATTCACGAAGCATCTCGCCACTGGACTAAATGCTTCATTGATACTAGGATCAGGCTCGAACGAACATTACGGGACCGCATGGATAAAAGTTACCACGTAGACGTGTAATACAGTCGATATCATACCTTAATATTACATTACGCATCCCTGATGTGCACGATTTGAAGCGCGACTCATTGAGAGGTTTCTGATTACTGTCGAGCTTCACCAGGGAGATTCTAAAATCGTCTTTACCTCAGATGGTGACTTGCGTAGTCGCAGAGCGATGCACCTCGTCCTAACTGCCTTGTCCTATTAGAGACCTCTAATAATATATCTTTCTGGCCCCTTCCCCCAACCCATCTCTCCAGTAAGACATCCTCTCCCCACAATTTCTTCTAGAATGTATCTCTTTTATGTATTTAGATCACGAAGGAAACGAAGAATTCATAACCGTGAATAAAACAGGGTACGTAAGACTTAGGTTGTGTTCTATTGGGATAAACCATTTAACCACTTCCACCCACACATCAGTATGCATATGTTCCATACTGATCTCCATAGCAAGGTGCTATGGAGAGGAAAATTTGTTTAATATCAAGAGCTTTTATAGTTTAAGATCATTTCCCCTATTCCCCTTACCTTAAAGTTCTATTCAGGGGGAAATTGTAAAGAGAAATTAGATGCTAATCACTTTTAGGGGTCAAAGGGTTAAACTGCCTCTGGATCAAGTTGAGGCGGTTGTAGTCTCCCGACACAACACTCAAATAACCCTTTTGGTTGAAACGCAGAGACTCCTGGGAATATCTATCACCGGATTTTTCGGCAGTAACTCGTCGAAGGATGACATTATGGCGGCTAAATCCAATCTTGTGGCGCAATTCCTTCGCTTTTTCGCCTTTTTTTCACGCCTAAGACTTCTTTTACTCCTTGCCTGTCCATGTCCAGGTGGTATCGAAATATCACGAATAACGCGTCATATTGGTTTTGTTTACAACATGTGTCAAGGCCGAAAACTGAGAAGTATTTTGAGGGAGTCGCATTTTCTACGGGGAAAATGGGAAGGGAACCAGTCGTTGTCAACAGGGAAAAAAGGGAGGGGAGACTGCGAATTAACTGCCAACGAGGGGGGATAATGTAGAGCCCTACGGGAGGGGGGGATCCGTTGAATTTTGTCGTGCCACAACCAAAATCCTGCGACCCCCTCCCCCCAGTTAATCAATACTGACAGAACAGCTTTTTAATTTTTTAAATATTTCTGTTTTAGCAATATCTCATGTGTTTCTGCTCAACCCATTCCTAAATCACAAGCCTACTGTAAGCCGTATCGTTACAAAGGAAGTAGTGGTGTTTGCGCGAGTATTGTCAAAGATCGCAATGTTTATGGCTCATCATCGCATCAAAGGAAGATGGAAAGAAGTCTGTATAACTTTAGAATGGCAAAGGCTTACATTCTTTCCAAAGGGGATATCTCTGATAGGTGCCTTCGCACTGTGGATCTGGTTTACTGCAACCACTACTTTCCAAAGTGTGATGACACGTCATCAAAGATTCTTCCAGTTCCAGTCTGTAGGGAGGCCTGCGATGTTATGGTACAGAGGCATTGCAAAGAAGAGTATCGTCGCGCTAAGGAAATTAACATGGCTCTACAGGACTCCCCTGCACTCGGGCTTGGATGGAGTTTTGAATTGCTTAACTGCTCAGAGTTCCCTTTGAGAAACGGTGGTTCTATTCCAGAGTGTCATTATCCTAAGGAACTCGAAGGTATTTTGCTCTGCGTGTTTGATATCTGTCAACCAAATTGCACCTGTAATTGAAACAGTTTGCAATAAAATATGGTGAGAGAGGTAACAGGTTGGGTAGACGAGTTAGGTTGAAAGTTGTAGTGTGAAAAAGTATTATGTAAAATTAAAAAGCTTTGAGGCAAGAAGCGGGAGACGATACGGTATAAAAAGGAACTCAAAACTGGAAAAGTCTCTTGCTTGTTACACTTGGCGTTTGAAGATCATGAGCACGAGGTGCTACCAAATCAGAGCGGGTTTTCTTTGTGGTAACTCAGAGTCTACGTAAAAGGAAAAAACGAGAAAAGCTGCTGCAAGTTTAAGGTTTTTTAATGAATGATATGTACAAGCCTTTGCAACCACCTGTTTGAGAACAGAAGCTAAACCACTGTTTTATCAGCTTTTTATCCTGACATCACTCAGGTGATTTGTAAAAGAAGACTCAAAATAAACTGATTTCGTCCTTTCTGCCACCCAGTTCATGCCATGTGATGATTCCTCTTGGAGATTAGAGTTCTTCCACTTGTACAAACTCAAATGCAATCAGCTACGTGTGACGGATTGTCCCATTATATTCTTTAAAACGAATTATCACCGATCTAAATTGGGTGAATTCACCGATTTCTGGTTATACCCAGAACCCTCCGCGAGATGTTTACTCCCTTTAATTGATCTTATGTCAATTTCTCAATTTAGAAAAAAACGCGTTGGAAGGAGACTTCAGTGGTAAGTAAGCACTTCCCTAAAAGCTTATTGTTGAGCGAAAGCTTTTTCGTAACAAGACCTTCATATTTATAATCTATTTGAACAGATAGGTGTTTCTATGGCGACGGTCAATTATACCGTGGAAATGTATCTGTGACACAGTCCGGTTACAAGTGCCAGTCGTGGACTTCCCAGTGTCCTCATCGGCACCACAGAACACCAGAAATTTTTCCCGAACTGAGTGACACCGGCAATGCATGCCGGAACCCCGGAGGACAGGCCCCTCTCGGTCCTTGGTGCTACACCACTAATTCTACAGTTCGTTGGGAATACTGCAATATCTCAACTTGTGCTCCAGGTAAGATTACTTCGTTTGCTTCCAGAAGATTGTTTGCTGAAATGGTATCACACTACATAGGACTAGGGTTAACGCGCCCAAAGAATGTTGGGACAGCAAGCCCGGTTGCCTTGTTGCTACCTAATCTAGCTATGTAACAAACTGCGTTTGTCCTAGGTTGTGGCATACTAAAGTCAGCAAAGTGAGGCTTTCATTTCGTGAAATTTCCACCTTTATTTGCGTTTACAACTTTATCAACATTATCTATAATTTTAAAGAAGTACTAATTACTGCAATACTTAAATTCGGCACATTTGGTTCTTAATGATTCTGAAATTCTTAATTTCTGATTCTGAATGTTTTCTTATCCCACGGAAATAATTTTCATCAAATGATAAAGGGGGATAGTTTCTGAAGAAACTATGGTGCTGCGTCGGTGGGAGAGTATAACAGGGTACTAGTGTAGTTCCATTTTCTGCATAAAAACGCACACAAAACCCACAATTCCTCCATTCGCTCTAACGAAGGGCTAACGCTCGAAACGTTCGCTTTTAAACTCTTTACGGTGGCCAATTTACATTATAAACTGAGTTGATAGTGCCAAATTACCCTAGTTTTTTATCAGGTGGGTACTAGTTGCTGAGTTGTCTCTGAATTTGAGCAGAATCGATTATTTACCTAGGACTTATTTTGATTATTATCAATAGTGTATCTTCATTTTCCTATCCCTCTTTATAATGCTACAGAAGACGCAACACTGTCCAACTGGAGTCCTCTCACCAAGTGTTCAGTATCTTGCGGGAACGGCTGGATCACACGCACGCGCACTTGTACCAGACCACGCCTTGGCGGGAAAAATTGCTCCTCTCTCGGTGCACTCGTTGAACGGCAACCATGCAGCCTTCAAAATTGTTCCGGTAACTAAAAAACCATAATTCTCTGCTTCTGCCTCTTTACGATATAAAGATTGATAAACTCCACCCTGATCTGATACTGAAACGTTGAAATAATACAATGAACCTGTACATTATGTTTGTACTTCCCTGCTTGATCGGGCTTTTGGGTCACGCAAAAAAGTTTTACCGGATGATTGAAATAAAACGAATTTATGTTACATGAAAATCTAATTCCCAAATAAGGGTCAACGGGATGGATCAATAGATATGCAATCAGAGGCCTGTTATCTATTTATCACTTCCTTGGAGACTGAATTTCATTCTTAATACACTTCCATTTAAATAAATGAACACAAGAATATTGATTTTTCTCAACTACTGTAACCTGTTCATTATAATTCATTTTAGAGAATGTCGATAATATCGAGGAAGTGCCAGTGGATAAAAAGACATTAGGTCAGTACTTTACAATATCTGTACTTCCAAGCGTGAGAATGAGAGTAGAATATTTTTTAATGTTAATATTTGTGGGTTCAATCTGGACTCACGTGAATTCAAATGCTATTTCTTGACAAGTGATAGCAAGGTGGTTCAGTCGGGATCTCGATCGAACGTTGGGACCCAGGTTAGCCTCGACAGTTTGATTTCTTCTGATTGGGTGAGGAGGTGAAGAATGAGGCCAATGAAAGAGCGACTTGAAAAAAACAAAAGCAATAACGAATCACAAGTTGCTTTGACATTCAATTGATACTTGGGCAACTGGACCATGTGACCGAGGACGAGTTACCACGTACAAATCTATAAACAAATAATAACCACAAACCACATTGTTTTATACCTCAAAAAACATAGCACTCTCTTTCTGGGGCGGCAAGAGGTATAAAGAACCTTAGGAAAAACTCGTTGTGGCTGCTTTTTTCAATACTATCAATGCTACTGAATGTCTCACTATTTCCATATCATTTCAGGGCTGAACTTTACGTGGATCATCATACTCTCAACCATTGGATCAGTCCTATTCTTGGTCAGCATAATTCTGGTCGTTACGTTGGTCAAGAAGCGTAGTAAGTGAAGCTGAATATTTCCTCGTCAATCTGAGGGTTTTTTTGGCAATTCCATACTGATTTGATTTAAAACCTTTTTTTTATCAGCAGGTCGTAAGCCAAATAACCCTAACATCCAAGATGAAGAGGAGATAACTCCTTATGCAACAGTTCGCTTCAGTGAAGTTTTTCCAGCAAATGCGACAAGTAATTACTATCCCATTCCTGGTATGTATGACAATCCACTGAAAGCTTTGCCTCCTCACCCATGGATAAAAACAGGATCAAAAGCCGCTAATAAGCAAGAGATACGAAGATCGCCATACGGAAATCTCGACCACCTGGGGAGGCAAGCAGTCAATCCTCTCCAGTACCTCTTTTATCAGCCTCGTTATGAAAATGAATTAGCTGATAATACAACCCGAGATGTGATTTATATAAGGCCTGGGTACGACAAGTTGATGTCCACCACAAGGAAAAAGAGGCGGGAAATTTATAGAGGTGAGGGTACGCGCTTAGCATGCGAGAAAGCAGATATGTCTGTATATGATTCTCTCATCCGCGAAATCAACCTCAAGTGTAAAAGTCGGAGAGAAGATTTGACTGACTCAGATGAAGATGATGAAAGGAATATCCGTGTCATTATGGAAGAGCCCTCTGGCGACGAAAGGAGCCCAACTTGCTCAACAGATGAAGGTGAAAATACAAGAGACTCGACGGACTTATCTAACAATGGTTATAAGGTTGACCTCGAGAATGGTTGCATTGTAAATGACTGGAATACATCCGAGGGGGAAAATGAGGAACAAAATCTAACTTTAACGGAAAGAAATGATAATTTGTCACCGCGTTCCCAAGCTGCCTTAAAAATGGAAGATAAAAGAGGTTTATTTCAGTTTTATAGCGCCAGTGATCCATCTCAGAACACTGAACAAGAACAATCGGCCATTTGATGTTTGCAGACAGGGAGAACTGCAAATGGAAATGAGAAATGAATCGAATAGTTCGGTTTTACACGTATTTGTATTTGTGGCAAAAAAAAAACACATGAAAGCAAAGGTATGTCTGAGAGAACTGAAGGCAGCGCGACCTGCAATGCTTAACAGAAGTGCACCTTGCATGCGTGATCAAAAGTCTGAAATGTTTGAGTGTTATTAGTACCGAGCTGTTGGGCGTAACATTCAATTAAAAAATTCTCAATCATTGACTTTTTCCTCACATCCTCGACTCTGTCAGTGTTTTATTCATATAGATCTATAAACTCCGTGATCCGCTCTTGCATCCCGTGTTATACATAAAAGACGTAATGATCCGCTCTTGCATCCCGTGTTACACATGAAAAACGTAACGAAACAAGCGGTTTTTATCAGACTTAATGACATAAACTGAAGAGAAAAAAAACCCGGGAGCATAAGCTTCATTAAAGCAAGTAAAACTCGAGGCATAGGCGGAATAACTGACGAGTTAAGGATAATCAGTTGCTCTTCTATTCCTTGGAGTTATTATTCAAGAGGATTATTTCATAGACTGAAAATTAAATCAGAGTGAGAAACATCAGTGAAGCATTAAGATGATGGCCAATTTAACAGTTTCACTTTATATAGCAAGAGCCCGTTGCATGGGTCTCGCATCGATACATTACATCGCTCAATCCGTCATAGGTCCGCATTATAAGCTGTGCTTAAAAGCCTTTTCAGTCGTGTTCAGGAACGCCAAAGACGAGGTCTTGCCATTGCACTTCTTGCAGGTATGTTTACGAGCATGATTATGCGCTTTATGGAGGGTAGTGTTCACCCTTTAACTCCAATGAGTGACCAAGACTGAATTTCTCCTTACAATTTCGAAACAACATCAAGCAGACAAGTGATGAGAATAAGGAAAAATATCAATTAAGGAATTATCAGTTGATCAAACACGAAATTCTCCAATATAACATCATGAGAATTCTATGACAGACAGTAAGGAGAATTGCTAATGAGATCTTGGGGGTGAAAGGGTTAATGCAGATTTAAATGGCAAAACCGTACACAGTCCATCGACAAGTTCCCGTCCCCTAACCCTGTTGCAGAGCGGCTCTTGTTGTTCTGAAAGATGATACAAAAAAAAAGCAGTTTGCTACTGAAAAATACACCCAATTTCTTGTTGTTGTGAACAAAAGCCAGCTTGATAGGTTTACTCAGGGAGCCAGATTGACGAATATAAAATCTAAGAACATCTAAAGTCTAAGAACATTAAGCAGTGTTCTGTAGACGATCGTCGACATACATGCAGCTTTCCGAAGTGTCTGAAAACAATGAATCACGTACATAGAGTCTTGCGCCATATTCAGGGAGATCAACTTTCAACTGGAGTAAGAATCAAATACGTGAACATGTGTAATCATACACTAAGTAATTTCAAACGCCCCCAGAACTTTCACACAAAAATTTGGGCTTTTCATTAAGTGACAGCCTTCACGTTGAGATGACAGATGCTTTTTCATCGCAACAACAGTAAAGAAAAATACAAATAAACGGCCTCTTTGGTACATGCAGCACATCAATCTTTCCTGTAGATGTAAGATTTGTATCGAACATTCTCGCACAGTTGAAGCTGCCTTGTCTTTCTCCTTTAAAAAAACGGAAAATCTAGGCATTAAATGAATTGCACAGTCTAATTATTTCACGTGGGGAAAGAGTGGACAAAGTCTTAAAAATTAATTTCACCAAGCTACTGAAGCGGTCAAAGTTGACATATCCGCTACACCATACAGAAACCCTAATTTCTTATATTCTTTGTTACATTTTCCCTACAGATAAAATGTCTGCCTCGATTAAACTCTGTAAGATGACTGTAAGAATGCGTACTTTGGTTAGATCAAGCCTTGGTAGAGGGGCGTTTCGCAAAAAGGGAAGAGGACAATTGAAAACATAATTTTTCAAAAGCCTAATAACATTTTCATTGCAAATAAAATACTTGGCTTTATGTCTGAAGCTTCGTAAGATGACTAATGAAATATCCTAATTTTGGTTGGATCATTTTTTTAATCACAAGACGAACTTAAAGTTAAATAAGCAGCATTTGAGGGCTACACATTGTTCATAAAAATAATGAACTACTTTTGTTTCTTCTTTTTCTGCTCTTTTTTCGACTTCTTCAGAGACTTTGTGGCCTTGATAGCACTATCAATGAATTCAAACTCAGTAGGCTTGTCTGTGTCGTCAGAAAGGCGGTTCTTTTTCTTTTTCTCGGTCTCCACCTTTTTTCTCGCATACTGACCCTTTTTCGGTTTCTTTTCGAACGAGGCATCAACCGACCCTTTCGTGTCATCAACGTCATCTTCCTACGAGAAACGAGGCAAAAAAAAAAAAATCACCACATCGTCGTCGCTTACGGATCAACCTACCCCTCCCCTAACCCAACAACAGTCAACTAATAACAAGTAGAGTTAATATTGGCTTAGCGTAGGGGTGGACGCGCAGTTGCTCGGACACTGACACTGCTGCGCACTTACCTAAAAGCACACGACCTATGAGAGAAAAGTTCCCAGTCGGAGAACTCGATTCCGTGGCTACCACCTTTATATTTTTCCTAGAATAGAAATAATTCTGAAGTTGAAAAATATTTTGTCCTGTTAGAACATACTTCCTCTGAATCAACAGCATCTTCCCCTCTTGCTGTGAAACCCAGTGCCGCCATTTCTCGGCCGAACTTTCTGGACTTGCTGTCTTCCACCAGCTTCGCTTTCTTGGTATGCTCAATATGCTCTCTCTCCTCTAGAATCTCTTCCAAAAATTTTCTTTTCCTTACTGCCTTTTGCTCCTTCTCGTGCCAGGTTTTGTCTTTCCTTTTAAAGTGCTGGGCGCCACAATTTCTGAGCACAATTCTGCCATAGAAATTACCATTGAGCTGTTGTTCACTAATGAGCAGCTCTTGGGTAATGGCTTCCTTATATTTCACCTCTGCTTGTCTCCAACAAGTTTCAACAACATGACTACCTTGTTTTTCACATGCAAGTCTCACAAAGGTCCCCTGAAAGATAGAGACAAGATTGGTCTTCGATTCTTCATTGGGTACCATTGGTTTAATCAACAGAATTTAATTTAACCCTTTACAACCTAATATCAGAACGTATATTCTCCATACTGTTCTCTATACATATCCAAAGGTTACTGACAAGGAGAATTTGTTTAAGAATCAAATATTTCTTTAGTGGGTGATCATTTTCTTTATTCTTGTGACCTTAGTGTTGGATTCAGGGATGATATTTTAAGGAGAAATTAGATGCTTATCACTCTTAGGGGACAATGGGTTAATAATGATATACATTTACATCGGCCCCTTTGGGTCTAAAATTTAACGAATCACCCAATGTATGTTTGAAACTTGAGGAGCTTAACAGCTCTCAAATTTGTTGGAGTTTATTATATGCAAAATGTTTCTGGAACACTAAGCCTTGGTTGCATACCTGATCAGCTTTAGTCTATGGTATTTTATGCAACCGAGCAATTCTCAAATAAACATCAAAAGTAATCCAGGATTGCATCAGTTTTGCTTTACTTCGTCCTGTGATTGGTTCAGAAAGCTCATGCCACTCTCCCAACCAATCCGTTGCAAAACTGAAATGGGTCTAAAACCAATCACAAATTGTTCTTCATGTTTTCTCGCCCTTTTTGCACCTTGGTTGTTGCTGTTGTTGTTATTTTTGTTCTCATTGGCTCTTAAGTTGGATTGTCTTTGCCATTCATTCATCAACTTGACAGAGTGGCATGAAAGACGAGTTACATGTCAGCTGCCGATTGGTTATATTAAACACATACAAAAGTATCTTAATATATACAGTGTAATGAAGAGAAATGAAACAAAAATGTAAATATTACCTTAAACTTCTCAATTAGAACATGTTTCTTCTCTGATGGCACAAATCTGCTCTTCAAGAAAGCTTCCAATGCATAAGAACCCATTGAGTCAGTGGCAAGAGTCATTAATTCCCCCAAGGAAAGACAAAGCAGACTTGTTACTAGCTTATTTGGGTCTTGAAAATCAAATAATGTCTTCAGTAACAATGCTCCATGAAAGTTAATGGATTTAAGCTTAGCTTCAGGTGGAGATTCTTCCTATGGAAAATAAAAGGGAAGATAGGAAAACTAATAATATTGTTGTTCATGCACAAAATTACAATGCAAGTTTATTATATCATAGACCTAGCTATACAGGTGTGACATTACATAATGAAATTACACACCAACTAATTTAAAAGTAAATACTACAAGACAAATAATTCCCTGTTACACTAAGAAGTAAAAAAAATAATAAAATAAATAAATAAATAAATTCTAACAATAATATAAGAATTGGTAAAAAGATGAAGGAAAACTTTGCAGATGCCCCCAATTTCTGTAGGGTACATTCCCTACTATTTGGGAGAAGTGCTTGGGTTCTTTAACTACCCCTGTTAACTAATTAATACAAAGAAGTTGCAGGAAATGGGGTGTACAGTTTATCATCTTTATCCAAGAAGACTATAACATCAAACAATTGCAGGTGTCACAAAAAAGGTAGCACATACTCCTCAGCTATTTCAAGACCCTGAGTATTGGTTTGCTCTGGGGCTTGAGCCCACAACCTTCTACTAAACAGTTTGACATTCTACAACCTGAGCTAACAAGGCAGTTACAACCAAAACAACCCCAGTTTACTCACCGAAATAGTATTGACACCTTCTTCACTTTCTCCTTTTTCATTTAACTTTGTTCCATAGAAAATGTCATAAGTTGTTAATGACAAGAACAAAAGAACAGCACTGGATTGTTCCTCTTTTTCTTCACAGTGAAATGCTTGCAGCAGTGCTTTCAACATTGTTTTTTGCTTGATCACAAACCGCACAGCAACTTCAGCCATTCTTACTACAATGCCCATATGCTCATTAGCAAGAAGATCTTCCAGATATGGTAGCAGCTCTGCTAACATTTGCTTTGCCTAAATCACAGAAAAGTCAACTTATAATCTAGGGACTTAAAATGACAGTAACAAATGACTTCTTCTTGAATCTCACTACTCACAATCACAACTAAAAAGATTGCAATCAATCATAGGACAAAAAGATAATGTGCTGGATTAAATATGAACCCCACTTGAAGAGTCCTCACTGAAATAACCCTTTAACCTTTTCAAGTGATAAGCATCTAATATCTCCCAACAGTATCACTGCTGAATCCTGCATTAAGGTCATGAGAATAAAGGAAGTGATCACAAACTTAAGAAACTCTTGATTGTTAGACAAATTCTCCTTGTAAGAACCATGGGAAAGGTATGGAGAAGAGTATGGAGAATTTGCATACTGATATAAAGGGTTAAGCCAACACTGGATAGAGTAATGAAAGTGCCTCCTTTTTAAAGGTTTCACTACATGAAATTATCACAACAATAACCAAAAATAAGTAAACAGTACATAACAGAAAACAAATCTAACCTGAGCTTTATCTGTTGTGCTTGCCATCAGATGTTGTACAATAAAATTAGCAATAGGATGGCAGGACAACTGAACCAAGTGAGTATTGAAGTAAGAATCATAAATTTCTTGCAAAAGTTCAGGTGTTACAACATGTAAAATCTTTTCAACCAAGTGACTGCTGATCTCATTTGAAAGCAGAACAGGTACCCTGTAACTTCTGAAAATGAAAGAAACAAACAGTACATGAAATCATACAACCTATATACAACAGTATGTACATGATGCCATATCTTAAAACTAAAAACAGCCATGATGAACAAATTTATTCACACCCCGTGAGCACCTGTTGGTACAAGAACTTTATGTGATGTAATCATGTGTGAATGTGATGTAATCATGTGCGACGAAACACAATAGTAACATGACACAGTCTCTGCCCTTGCTTGCCATCTCAAATTTGCAGTTAACTTCATCAAACCAATATATGTGATTTTTTTGCTGTTGTTCTTTATGCAGATATGACCATTACCTTTCTTGCTCTTTTTGGGCCTGCTCACTGTCACTTTCCTTAGGTTCTCTGGGTCCTTTGATCCTTCCTTTCTTACTGTTGTACATGTCAATTTGAGACATAACCGCCTTGCATAACTTCATACACAATGACTGATCTTTCCTGTGTAGAACCAGTAGTAATGTCTGCAAGAGGGGATTACTTACTGGGTGAAGAGCCAATTTTTGGAGTTCCATTTTAATTATTATGTTGGTGAGTTGTTTGAGAACAGGTAGAAAGCTATCTGGAACTGCAACTGTCTCCATATGTGTGATGGCCTCTGTTCCAAAGGCATTTCCCACTGTATGATAAAAGGAAAGTATAAGAGAGATTAACCAGGTAACAGAAACAATCATGATACACCACATGCACTGTTTCTACTTTTTCTCACACTAAATACCTCATTCACAATAATACAAATAAACTTTAAATTGAAAAATAATTTTGACAATTTTATAATAACTTGTTTCAAAAGTGGCAGTTTCTTTTACAATTGTTTCATGATAGAGTGATATGTAATTCTGAATCTTGGCCTTGAAAGCACCTGGTTTCTTCTACCCTCCGTTTCTCTATAATTGATATAAAAGACACCAGCCAGTTGCAGGTAAAACTAAGAGCACTAGTAATTTTGAAGAATACAAGTTCACTCCATTTTCTTGCAGTTTCACTTGTGACAGTGGCACTTACATTCATTTGATATTACTGGTTACACTCAATAAACCCATAGCATGATAAACTTTTGCTCTTTATACACTTCTTTTCAGCTGAAAAACAGCCTATTTGATTAGTCATTTACGTTATACGCCCTGAAAAAACTTTAATATCACCTGTTATCTATTTACCCTGTTATTCTACTCATTGTGAGTCAATTCTTTTCATGAGCCTCTAGAAAGAATCAGCTAACATAGTTCAGGGGTTTCAAAATGTTTTGAAGTATCAGGCTCTGCAAAAATGGATGACTGTGAAAAGTTCATTAAGAGCCAAAAGGTAATTATTTTGACCAGAGTAACCAGCGACACGTTATCAAGTAGCCGGCAGAATTCTGGCTGTTACTAGCTTGTTTTGAAACCTCTGATAGCTGTACACTTAATTAAAATGTTTAATACCTTGACTCTGCTTGATTGACTGTCTTTTCTCCTCCGATTGATAACTTTTTTCTCTACTTCGCCGTGAGGCTCGACTACGTACCACATTATCCGCAACTTTCACACCACCCAGCACCTCAAAGGCAGTTCTGAGAACATGGCTTCCGTAAGTATGGCTGACAAGTTCACCTATATTCTCTCGAAAACAATCACAGAGACTCAGGAAAAGTTCCTCCGCACTTTTCAAATCGTCGATATTATTTTCAACTTCTCTGTTTTTACTGCGCTCCGACCTTATTGCTTTTGGAATAGCACAAATGAGCGATTGGAGCACATGGCTACCGAATTTGTCCATGGCGATTTGGCAGAAATGATCCTCAATGTTTTGTATTACGCGGCGAATTTGGATATCGTTCAAATAAACGATTAGCTTCTCCATAGTTCTGCTGACTATCATATCACAGGAAAGTTTAACCTCGTTGTTTTCAACTTGTGTAAACACGTTTTCCATAAATAGCTTTCGACTCTCATCATCATCAAAATCGTCTTCATTTATCATATCTTCTACCCTTTTGAAATAACTGGAAGTTTGCTCGTCGAGAGTGGATGTTACTTTGACCTGCTTCTTGCTGTTTTTCTTTTTCATCGCGTCTATTTTCTCGTTAAAGCCTGATTTCAAATTCAACACAACCCGTCCGCCATATTGAAACCTTTGGAGACTCAGCAGCCTGGCCTTTTCACTTATTCTCGCCCAGTCTACCAAACGGATAGCTCGTTCAAAACAATATCGACCGTTCCCGCGTGGGTGCAGGTCTCTATGCAGCTGGTAAATCTGGACCAATTTGGAGAGTCAGGTGTTCGATTTTTGCCATGGAAGGAACAAGATGATTGCTTGGATTTTTCTGTCCCTTTTAATTACTAAAGGAGTGTTCACGACCACTGGAAAGTGTTTTAAAAACGAATTTGTGGGTACGTTCTACTGTGCGCGATTAATCGAATGCACATGAAAACTTTAAGTTAACATCAAACTAAAATTTATTCATTTTTTTCCTGTTTTTGACAGAAAGCCCATTGATTTCCTGTGCATTTGTTTATAATTCGTTAAGTGTGCTTTTAGTAACTTCAATTTAAATGCAAATTTTTTTGCCGGTTAAAGAGATAAGACACAATACCGGTGGGCTTCAACTTAATTGAGTGCAATTATGTGCCCAGGCAGATTTCCTTTTTTTGAAGTATTAATTAATTGAACCGTGGTCCTTATTTTATTCCACTAGAGTGTTTGTGCTCTAAATGCCAACTTGAATATTTAAATTGCCTACCGAAGCTTCATTTTTTAAAATTTCTATCCAATTAACAAATGGAAGAAACCTCCAATTCCATATGAAAGAAAAAGCATCAGAATCCTTAATGGAATCGTGACCAGCGTACAAATGGTTCACTGAGGCAAATTAAAACTTTTTGATATTATAATATTTTCATATTTCATTGTGCATCAAATGTTTTTGGTGATGCAAAATTGTACTAGTCTAAACACATCACACTAATATATACTTCAGCTTAAACTGGCAACATCAAAGTGGTATAATTTCACCAAAATGTATTCTCCAATTATGAAATCTTAAGTCTGATGCAAAGAGAGCCTTCATTTAACGAGAGAATTCAACTCAAGATAGGGAGCATTTCATTGTTACAGAAGAGGAGAAAAGCTTGCTCATTGATGTTGCCTTAACAGCAAAAGCTGAACAACTAGCATCCACAGAAACACCTTTGATTTCAAGCTGTTTTTTCATCAATTTGTTTTGCATAATGCAAAAATTTTGGGGGAATGATAAAAATAATAGCTGTCATTTTAGTGCAGACATACTCTCTGCCTTAAGACATTTTCTGTTCCAGTAAGCTCAGAACTTTTCTTGAGCCTTGTGCTCAGAAAAATGTTGTTAAATAGAGGCTCTTTTCAGTAATTATTTATTTTGAATTATTTATTCACGCTTTAACCTCAAAGAGTCACTAGCATCTTATCTCAGCTGACAACATCACCCCTGAAACACGAATGTCACAAGAGTTAAGGGAATGATCATCAATGAAAGAAGCTCTTGATTGGTAAACAAATTCTCCTTGTCAGCACCTTAGCAAATGTATAGAGAACAGTATGGAGAATATGCATACTGATGTTAAGTTGTGAAGGGTTAATTTATTGAATGTTTATTAATTCTACATATACATATACTTTTACTATCTCTTCCCTCAGCAACATTTTGATTCTCTATTCAATATCTACTCAGGAGACACAGTGAAACAGCATTTCAAGCTGTATGGTGATGGCATAACATTACTTCCCCTAAAAGTGAGCTACAGCAAGCGAGCATCTCATCAGATTTCCTCTCATGTGCTGCGCATTTTATTAGAAGAATTGTTAGGATATGAAGATGTTGTTCTGGTCCCTGATGATTCTGGATTGTTTGTCAACAAGGCTCTCCAAAAGATATCAGGATGTTCAAATCACAGGTATTGTGTATGGATCTATAGCCTGACTGCTACTGCTTGTTGTTGTAGTGAATCACTACATTTTGTTTTTCTTCTTACAATCCTTGTCTGAATAATGTTTGCATTTTAAAATGGATACAGCATTTATTCAGGGACAGCATTCAACTGAGTTGACATGATAAAATCAGGAGCAGAAATGGGTACTGCCAAACATTCAGGGGAGTTTGACATAAGGGCGGGGGGGGGGGGGGGTAAGCTGGGATGGAGTAGCATCTAGGGGGGAGCAGCAATACTGCTAGTCACTTTATACTAAAGAGACTGAGATAAGCCTGGGTGCCTTGTTGGCCATCTAAGCTGAGTGCAGACTTACTTCTCCACTTTCGATAATTCCCTAAAACCAGTCATTCCAGAGCCTAATACTTTTTCTGTTCATATTCTATGTGTCAAGCTGTGATGCCAGTGATGTTCCAGATGTTATGATTAATACAGAAATCTGGGTACCTCCAGGTTATCAATACGGCAAATGGTTGGACAAAAAATTGGTGAATGAAGTTGGAACCATCTCTACACATGGGAGGTACAAGTACATGTTTAAGTCATTACCAAAAGTGGAATGCCAAGAAAAATACAATCAAACTTGTGTGTAAAATTTTATGCCAAGAGAAAAAAACAAGCTCAATGTGACATGTCAAACAGCTCTGACTCTCTTTTCATTTTACAGATTTGGATGGTATCTTCCAACCTCTTTTGTTGAAGGATTATGGAATGACAGCAGAATCATAGCAGACAGCTGGAGAGCTTTACAACTACAGTCAGTGGTGGGACAATTGTTGCAAAATGCATCATTGCTCAATTCTTACATTAACATCTCAGAGTACAAGAAATCTTGTGAAGATATAGCTGGTTGTAGTCATGGCTGGCTTCATGGCACAAAGTGTAGGGATGGTGATAATGCAATGCATTGTGCTGTTCTTTTGGCTGATTTTCCAGGTGGGTTTGTAAGTTAATGTAGAGATATGGTGGTGGCTAATGGTTAGTATGTGGGGCTCCAGGTGGAGAGATCCATGGTCTGAGACATGGGTAAGTCATTATGTTGTGTTTTGGGCAGGACAGCTTAATCTCACAATGTGTCTCTCCACCCAGGAGCATGGGAGGGTACCAGAAAATTGTCAGGGGGAGATTTTTTTAACCTTGCAATGGACTAGTATCCCATCCAGGTGGGAGTAGTGATACTCCTAGTCATTTTATGCTTAGGAAACCACAATATTAAGATATGAGGGCTGGGTGGGCCACCAGGCTTGAGTACAGACTTTACCTTTAGTGTAGAAACTCACCAAAATACAATAAATTTGTATAAGTTGACAGACCCTTGAAACTTGATCCTTAATGTTTTTTTGGTGGTGTAAGTAAGTAAAGATTTCTTCTGAAAGTTCTGATTACTTCTAAATGATGTTTATAGACCACTATGGATCATTACTACAGCAGCAGATTAACAGCCTTGGTCTGAATATGTCAGTAGTATGGCTGGCCTCGGAGTTACAATATTTTGTCAATGGCAGGGGTGATCAACCATTCCTTCTTTTAAACTGGGAACCGAATACAAAACCAACAGCAGAGCAGTTGACAAGAATAAGTCTTCCGCCATGCAGGTGTGGATAAAAATCAGGTTTTGACTGTGTTATTGTTTCAGAAAAAATTCATTTCCCTTTTGTAGAAGGTTTAATTTTGCTTCAGACCCCCACAGCCATCCCCCCCTTCCTCCCCCAACCCTTCCTCATTTGGGAAATCCCATTTTGCTGCTTTGTACTTTCCTTGAAAATGTCTGACTTATACTATTCCTCTTGCCACTGGAATTTCAAATGACCATCCTCTGGCTTGATATCAACCTATTCCTATTTCAAATTCTTGAATTTCTGCAGTGCACTTGGGTAGATTTGATACATACAGTAGTTAAGGGACAAATTTTATTCATGCTGTTAGATGGTGAGAAATTTTGTGCATGCTAATATTATGATAAAATGATGAATGTTTCAAACAATAGGCCTGATTTCATTAAGAAAGATTCATTTATGTTAAATATATTTTTTATTTATTTTCAGTGCAAATGTGTCTTTCATCCATGCCTTTTCATCTCAGCAAGGTTACTACAACTGTGATTTTCCACCAAGTCACCTTTTTAAGTTTGCTTGGGGAGCAGTTCAAGATAGTGCCCCTGATGTATACTACCTGTTGTCAAAATTGTACTTTGATAAGGAGACACTTAGTGGCTTGTTGCAGAAACATGCCTATGGTGGGGGGAATTTAACAAGTGAGGAAATTGCTTGTGATTGGTTACAGCAGAATAGGGATACCTGGATGCAATGGTTACCATCTGGGAGTTTTAATAAAACACCAGTTTATCTTGGAGGGATGTTCCCTTTATCAGACAGCAAGGATGCAGTTTGGAGCAATCCTGGAATTTTGCAGGGTATGAGAAATTTATTTAGACTCTAAAGAGGTCATAGATACTTGAAGGGCAGACAATTTTGATGTTTTGTGTTGTCACTTAATGACATATATGGTTTAATATTATTGTTATATTCCTTTGTTTTCAAACCCAATGAACTTTGATGTAACCAAAATATTCACGAAAAGTAGACTCAGTTTACTATGAATTAAATTGAACCATAGCGTAAACTGGTTGGAGGTACAGTCTGCAAAAACCAAACATCCAAATTTTACCAACCTCTGGACCAATCAAAACCAAAATAATCCAGACTTGGTCACAGCTCTTTTCCTGCATTTCAGTCAGTTTGCTTGTTTTTACTTAATGTTTTCATTGGCTCCACATGCTGTTTTGCTTTGATTTGATTGGCTGTTGTCATTACTTTGGTTTTGGTATTATGACACTAAATGAATTGTACTCTTATACTGATTGCTAGTTATTCAGTGTTTTGCTTTGTTGCAGGTGCCCTGATGGCTTTGGAAAGCATCAACAGTGATTTTAAAATTCTTGATAATTACAGCTTGGAGCTCATTGTAGAAGACACACACTGTAAAACATCTCTCATTCTCAATGCATTCATCGAGTTTATGTCACGATCTCATAATAAATCAGTTGTGGGAATCATTGGCCCTGCCTGTTCAGTTCAAACTGAGATCATTGCAGAAGTTGCACCATTGTATAATACAATGGTTATGGGTTATAGTGTGGAAGGTGTTGCACTGGCAGA